TATTTACTAATAGTTTATTATAATTTCGACAGAATTTAGACAGTCACTAAGAGATTTCGGCAAGCAACCTTAGTTATAGATTAGTCTTTTGATATTTTTATTATAATTGAATTATTTGGAATTTCTCAACTAAAAATATTGTAATCTCTTTTTTGTGAGAAGAATTTAGTAGAGTCTTTATTATTTTTGTTATTTTGTTAGTTCTAGAACATAATTATACTAGTACAGAGAATTTATTCATAATTTTAATTAAATTAATTAATTAGTACAATTAATCAAAACACTATAACTTTATTACTTATTCTTTTCATCTTTTTGAATTATAACAATTTTAATAGAAGTTGGCATAGAACTTAGATATTATTTTTGTATTATTCTTATAATTATTTAATTCCCTTTTCCAACTCTTGTTCATATTTATTAGCTAATTATCTGATTAGTGAAAAATGTGTAACAATACATTATTTTATTTCAATTTGATATTTGACTGGCAAAAAATAAAAATATATTAAAAAATATATTCTTTAATAAAAATAAAAGTAATAATAATTTATTAAAAATATTATTATATTAACAAGTTTTAATTGTTAAAAAAATATTCAGCTAAATTTTTGTATTAAAATTAAATATATTAATTAGAAATATTAAATAAAAAGCATAAATTAAATAAATATTTTGAAAACAAATATTATTACTTTTTTAGTATTTTATTTACATTCAAATTTGAAAATTTTTATATTTAGCAATAATAAAAATAGTTATAATAAAATATAATTGAAAGATGAATTAATTTTTTAAAAAATTTCAGAACAAATTATTAAGTTGAATTTTTAAAAAATTTAACAAAAAATTATAACTTTTAATTTATCAAATTATAATTTTTTAGTATTTAAAAACTAAAATAATCATAAAATACTATTAAGCTCCATTTTTCTATTAGTTTTTGAAGTAGCATTATAGAGTTCAATATAATATTTAAATTATAATTTACATTGAAAAATTATAATTCTACGTTCAAAACAATTCATAGTACTTTCATTGATTTGTTGCCATTTTTTCCATTAAATAAAAAAAGTTAAAAATTAACGCTGATTTTACTTGATTGCACTCACTTTTAAAGACCACAGAGAATCCTCATTGGACGTATCATATATCAAAATTTTTAAAAAGTAAAATACATAAGTAATAATACTTTACGTATAAAATATAAATAAATTTAATTTACTTGTCGAATATCAGCAACTCCATTATTTCGAGAGGTGCCTCCAATATAATAAATTTTACTTTCTTTAAATGTTGAAGAATAGTCACTTCTTTGATCTGGAACATAACCAGAAGAAGGTTCCATATTTAACCAAAAGTATCAAATATATATAGTTTTATCTATATTATGAGTATGTCCACCCCATATATATAGTTTTATCTATATTATGAGTATGTCCACCCCATATATAAAGCTTTCCTTTGTTATCAATGACAGAAGACATGGTGCATCGAGCTTCAAGACGAGAATAAACTCGCAAAAATGAAAAGGGCGAAGTGCTGACATCAATTTTATAAAAGCCATCCGTGTTAGTAAGCTCTGAACGGTTTCCTTTGTTTGGCTATTATTATGTTAAATGTAAAGTATAATTTAAAAAAAAAACTTTTCGAAAAAATTAAGCATCTATTTTGCATAAACTTACAATCATCCTACCAAAACCATATATTACTGAGTGGCTGTCTTTTTTCTGTGCGCTAAAGGCGGTTAAATAAAACGCCGGCCGGTGCAGAAACTAAATTACCGATGTCTGTGAATTCTGGTGTAGATGTTGTCAAATCTTTAGAAAGATCCAATGTAAGCGCATGAGTATTTGAAAAGTCGTAACTATCAAAGGTGATAATCTTGTTGTCAATTAATACTCCAGGTTCTGCATTTAATTCTTCAGGCGAGTACGCGCCTGACATTGAAATAACGAACATTAAGTATAAACATATCATTGAAATTGATAACATTTTTCTATGTCATGAATTATAATAAATTCACTAAACTAAATAGGAGGAAAATATTAATTCATAAATGCTCGTCTAAATGCATGTATAAGGAAATTAAACAAAGAGTTATCGTTATCATCTTTAACCTTTGTACAACTACATATACGGTACATGTACATGTACATGTATAAACAGAAAATACGTAATACGTAGTCTTGCATAATTAATCCGTGTATAAACAGAAAATAATACGTGCTCGGTAAAGTTTTATCCGTAAACAAAATAAACAAGTATTCATTTTAAACATCGAAACCTCTAGTGTACATGTATTAAAAAATAATTTGTCAACAGTTACATGACATGTACATGTATAACATTTGTGAATTTAGTGATTTAAGTCAATTTGTTCGATTAATAAATTTCGACCACATAACTTTTTTTTCTAAGATAAAAAAAATTTGGATTACTAACTAAAAATACTCTAGAAAATCTACCTACATACCAATGTTCATAAAAGTTGGCACAAAATTTAAGATCCCGAAGAGCTAGAGCATTAATTCGACTATTTATTTCTGGCGGAGATTTGGACCTTTGGGATCTTAAATTTTGAGCATTTTTAATTAGTCTTTAATCACCCAATTTCATAAAATTAGTTAAAATAATCTGTTTTCAATTATTTTTAAAAAATACTAGTGATTCCGAGGTTTAAAATGAATACTTTATACTTTGTTTGGATTAATATTGACAGAGATAAAAATTTTCATCGAGTGTTCCATTTCTTGTGAGAGCCACTGTATGTATGATACGAAGTATAAGAAATTAATTTTTAACTAACGAAATAATAAAAAAAAGCATCGAGAACATTAGGCTTCGAAAGCCCGTCCAAAATGACTATTAACGTAGCAATCGCTATTGAACTATGATTCGCCATATCTGAATGAACTTTAAGATGACTAAAATCTTTTTTGTCACAAAAAAGCATTTTTCTGCGAGATAATTTGTCGTATGTCCATATCTACTTAATAATTTCGCCTGAACTCGCGATATTAAACCAAAAAATCAACGATAAAAGTTTGATAATTTTATAATATCATCATAAACAATTTTTTATTTTGGTACATAACGATAGTAATTTCATTCATTTGTATACGACTACTTGTTATTTTTCCATGTGTAGCTTTTTATTAGAATCTGAATTTTTGAATACTTTGAATTCAAATACATGCATCTATGTACCCTCTTTAAAGTCACACTCTTTAATGAATTTTATACATGTGCCATTGTGTTAAATACTATTTCATATACACGATTACTTTGTCTGAAAAATGCTTTTGTTGCATAAGTACATAAAATGCATTGCTCAACATGAGACGCGATATTAAGTCGTCATATTTCTGGAACGAAGTGATCTGTACTGTTTATATGTTTTGATGATAAAAAATATAAATCGTTCGTCCAATTGGGTCTTGTATGCCAGCAGTATTGTCGCTTTGACGCAAATCCAGCAATTTGCGTCCAAGCGACAACACTGTGTGCCAGTTATAACATTGTCAATTTAGCATTGAGAATCTGATATAAAAGTAGGATCTTTGCATATTAATATGTATAATGATGGTATTTACGTACATGTGTTGACACTTGTTCTCGGAATATATCTAAAAGAATGAATTTTACCGATCGGGTTCTACCCATATTTGAGGGTTTGTTATAGTTGTGTTAAATTCAGAGAACCCCTAATAACTACCAAAAACTATAACAAAACATTGGAAGTTATCTAATTAAACATAAGTAATACTTTTTTACCTGTGGAATGCTATGTATTAGTTTATAAAAATAAAATGGACTAGTAATTCAGCCAGTTTTTAAATAGAAAAATTCACTAATTTCCTATTATTTGAGAAGAATAAAAAAGTATAACTTTATGATTTTTCAAAGTTTTCTATTTTTACGTTGAGGAAAACAAATCAATATTAATGCAAATTTGTAGAGAAGTAAACGCATGTTTGTGTTGAATATTACACGTATGTAGGAAATTCATTATCAAAAAATCTTCATTGTTAATTAAGACCGACGTTTATCAGTGTCAATTAACGATCACAAATACCTTAACGTTAAGGAAATATAGTACAAAGCGGTGTGCATATTAATTCGACTCGACCACTTTTGTTTTTATATTTCTAGCTATAGCTTTTAGGTAATAACTTTATATACCATCTAAAAAAAGTCGTCACAAAGGATTTCTCTTGATTTTTTGATTATTGAAGAAAACAGTAAATTTTCCTTCCTCATGTTTTAAAACATTGAAAGTTTCTTAATATCACTCAGAATGTTTTCTGGTAATTTATCATTATCAATTTTGATTACCGACAAGGATTCTTCAAGAAAAAGTTGATCAACTAACTAATTGTTGTAGAAGTAAAAGGCTTTGGAATAATATTTGAAATCAGCGGATAATGAAGTATAAACTAATTTATATTACGTAACCAAATCTTACTGATCTTTGCCACATCCACTGTCTTAATTCTGGGTTGTTGTAGGACGTTATTCTTCCCGGGACGACATACTTCAAACGAGGCAATGCATCTTTTTTAATCATTGATTTCCATAATCTCATTGAATTATTACGACACGAATGCAAAACAAAACTTTCTAAATTCTCGCATTCTGCGATTGTATTCCACGATACGGCTTCACTGAAATCTACATCATAAAATTTCAGATATAAAAGAGTGCGAGTTTGCGTATGTAAAGAGTCAAGTATTTCGTTGATGCCTTTGTCGTTAATTGAACATATCGTCAGTTTCCGGAGTCCCTTTTGCGCACGAATAAGTTGTGCAGTATTTTTGATAATTTCTGTATTTATGTCCTGTGAATTATTTCTGTAGTCAGAATCTTGTATTTTAATTGAAATTGTTGTTAAATGCTGGCATACTACAGAGAAATAAAGAATCAATTCGCTCTTATTTGAAGCTCTTGATAAATCAAGTTTTTTGGTCTCTGAGAAAAATGGAATTAATTTTTCTTGTGTCAAAATCAAGTAATTACTGAGATAAAGGCTATTTCCGCCTTTGAATTCCAGAAAATTCAATTTTGCTCCATATTCAACAAATGTATGCAATAGTGCATCGATCATTGCGGGACTTGCTGTCAACGGTTTCGCATCCGTAGTCACAATGAATGTATGAACTACTCTGAGTAAATCACCATAATTCAAATATTTTATATATGCTGGATAATAAAAAATTGGCTTATTTCCGGAGTTGCCACCATACAATAACGACTGTTGTAAATCAATATTGTGTTCGCTGCGAAGACTTGCAACACGTGACGGCGAAAGAAAAGACATTAAAACACAAAATTGTCGTTGGCAAAAGCCGCCTTTTGGTGGATTAAATGGTTGACGCCATAAAAACGAAATTGTTTGACAACACCATTGACGATTTATGTACAGACATTGATAGATATCTTTGAATCCTTCATGATGATATTGGACGTCGTATGTGTTTGGAGCAAGATGTAGTAATATTTTGTATATTATGTCAGAGATAAATATGGATGGTGTTGATAAGTCTTCCGGAAGGATATTTTCACTTTCTATGTTAGAAACAGAGTTTGACATTTTCTTGAAGTTTTGACGTTAAGCGGAGAATGTAATAAATAACGATTGTTGCACTTTTACATATCGGTGTATACTTTATATGGTTGTGTATGGAAATCATTTGTATTACCACCAATGTCGGTATTGGCTAATCGTGAAAAACACAATAATAGAGTGGCGCAAATACTGTCTAAAATTGATTACATTCTGCGCGCGCAGTATGTGGAAGATACATGTACGTAGTTCGTTTTGAGTTATACATGTACGTATAAAGAAACATTTAAAAATTCTGCATCAATAATTTTAAAATACGCAGCACAAATATAACTTCATTTTATTATACACTATACAAGTGACTCTCGTTATAGTAAACTCTTGTTATAGTAAAGTAGTTGAAGCACACAATTTTCTACTGAGAGGTACAGTCAACTTTCGTTAAACCGACCATGTTTTTCTTTGATTTAACGAGAGTTGACTATGTACCTTTAAATAAATATAATATAAGTTTCAGTCACATCTTCTATTTATATTATATATTTAATCAAAATATATAGTTAACTCCCATTAAATCGAAGAAAAATATAGTCAGTCGAACAAGAGTTGACTGTAGCTTTAAGAATTTTAACTCTTTCTTATTAGATGAATATAAAGTTTTATAATTTCTCGTTATGATATAACATTGAAGCTCCAATTATGGCAGCAAGTGTAAAAAATAAACTTGATTTAATAATTTGACTTTTATGAATTATTGGATCTAATATAATATATTCTTATTTATACTTGTTCAAAAATATTTAAATATCTTATTAAAAAATTAGTTGGTTTAGCATATAACTATTGTATTTCTTTAAATTGTGAATGAATTTTAAAACATGCAAATATTATAGATATTGTTATACTTATAATATATAATTTGTTAATTTTATAATTAATAATAAATTGTGAAATTAGAAAAGTTATATGAATAATTTATTGATTAACAAAAAGATTTTCTTAATTCTTCATTGTATTATTACTCTACTTTATTATATATATATATATAATTATTTATTTGCTTTATATATTGTTTATTTTTCTATTATTTTATTTTTCTATGTTTCTATTTTATTTTATTATATTTATTTACTTTAATATTTATATATTAGTCATATTTTTGAATTGATATAAAAAATTATGAACTTTTATACTAGAATTTATAATAAAATTATTATAAAAGATTTAGTACTTGTTTTATAAAACAATAAACTAGAAGTTCTTGTTTGGTAATACTATAGAAAAAGATTTATAATAGTAATTATTTATTTATTTATTTTTTTATTTATCTTTTTTTATATTTATTAAGTTAGAATTTTATATTTAATTAAAATATTTATTTTTTATATTTGTTTCTTATTTTTAATTATCATATCTATATTTATAAAAAGTATATAAATTTAAGTAATATCTGAGCTTTAACCTAGAATATTAAAACTTGAAAAATAATTATATAATATACAAAAATTTTTATTTCTTATTCTTAATAAATTGAATTTATTTGTATTATTAATAATATATTTTGATAATAATTATTTATTAATTCAATATATTAACTATACTTTTAAATATTTTTAATAATTTTTTAAATATATATATAATTATATACTAAAAGTTTTATATAATTAAATATTTTTTTTATAATTTTATAGAATTTCAAAAATTCTTGAAATTTTTTAATAATTTATTTTTATTCTTGATAATTATTAGTAATTTATAATTAAATACTTTTTTCTCTATATTATATATAGTATAATTAAAATTTAAAAAATAATATTCTAAAAAATTTTATTATTAATAAAATTAATATTAGAATATTTAACAAATTTTTGTATATAAAATATTTAGTTTTATATTTTTCAAATTATACTATATATAGTATAAAAATCTAATTTAATTTATTAACTATATACTTTAAAATTTGTATATAAAGCTCTAAAAAGTTTAATTTATTGACTTATATATAATTTAAATATATAGTCATGACCAAAAATATTTGATTCTCTCTTCTAACTTTTTATAAATTATATATAATATATCAAATTTTTTCAAGTACAAAGAATATTACAAATACTAATAGTAATACTTTTTTATAAAATAGTAGAGCTTTTATATTGAATATTATATATTTATATATTTTATGTTCAAATACAATAAATTAGTCACTTATAATTTAATATCTTAACATATAGTAATTAAATTTGAGTGAAAATATCACTATTTGATTTGTCTAAATTAGACAAATCAAATTATAATATTTTTACTCAAATTTAATTACTATATATTAAATATTATATTATAAAGTGATTAATTCATATTTATTGATCAATTTTTTATTAGAAATAATTATCAAAAAAATGAATCAATCAATTTAAAATATATATAATATTTTGATTTTCAGTGATTTGATTTATATTGACTAAAAAAATTGAATAATATTATTTTTGTTCAAATCAAATTATGAGGATTAAGATATCATGTTCTAAATTGACTGCTAATTAATTTTTGTTAATATCAAAAAAATAAAACTACTACTTTAAGACATAATATTTTAATATTTTATGAGCAAATTTGAATAAAAATACTACTATTTAATTCATCTAGTCAAGATAAATCAAATATTAATTTTTTTATTCAAATTAAATTACTGAATATCAAGAATTAAATTATTGAATATTAAAATATATATTGTAAATAACTAATTATATTTGTCATATAAAAGTTTATGAGCATATAATATCTGATATAAAAGCTCTATCTACCTATAAAAAGTATCAATAATTAATATTTATAATATTCTTTGTATTTAGAAAAATTTGGTGTATTATACATAATTTATAGAAAGTTAAGAAAGATCAAATATTTATAATTATGACTATATATAATTTAATTAAAGAAGTTTAAACTTATATTATATAAAATTTAAACTTGAATAATCAAAAAGTTAATTTATTTAGAAAATTTACTTATATACAAATAATTTTGATTTATTTAAAATATTTTTGTTAAAAATATTAAATAAATATTTTTGTTATTAATAAATTATTTAATTTTTTTGTTATAATTAAATTATTAATATTTTTTACTTATTAAAAATTTAATATTACTTTTTATGAGAATCAAATAAAAAAAATTTTTTATTATTAATTATATTTTACTTTAATAAAAAAATTAAAATACTTTATATTAATATAAAAATATTAAAATAATAAATTTATTATATTTCTCTTTTTCTTTTTCTTTATTTTCTTTTCTAACTATAATAATTTTAATAAAAATTAATATAGAAATTTTTTGAAATTTTTCTTTTCAAGCTATAATAATTTAGTAAAAATTAATATTAAACTTTTTTTTATTATTATAATCTTTAGCAAAAATAATAGCAAATATATTTTTGTTTAAAAATTATTAAAAATTATAAATAATTCTTTAAAATTTTAAAAATATTAAAAAGCATATTTATATAATAAAAGTTTGCGAATTTTATATCAAATATTACTAATTAAAATTTTTAATATTTGAATTAAAATAAAAAATTATTTAAAAATAATTTAATAAGTAATTTTGAAAAAATTTATAAAAAATATATTGTAATATAGAAAATATATATATAATTTAAAATAATTCAGTTTATTTTTATTTAATAATATTATTTAAAAAAATATTATTTGATAAATTTTTTAATAAAACATAATAATATTTATTAAAAAAAATAAAGTATAATTTTTTTTAAATTGCAGATATATTTTATATTATAAAATATATTTTTATAAAATTTTTTTAAAATTGTTATTAAAAATATTTCCATTTCAATTTAAATATTAAAATTTTAATTTATCATATTTGATATAAAATTTTACAAAATTTACTATAAAAAATTTGTTTAAAGAATATATTTACAAATTTTTATAATTTTTAAATAATTTTTTATTAAGTTATAAGCAATAAATACATTTATTATTACTTTTCTAGAACTATATTTTGTATTTTTATTATTATTCTCTCTTAATTCTTATTTATATTTATATACTAATTTTTTATTAGCAAATAAACTTATAATAATTTATTATATAATTAAAATTTTTGTATATTTTTAATATATTATAATAACAATAAAAAATATTAGTTTATAAATATATCTTTGTACAAATTTTTATTGTTTTATTATTAATAGTAGTATTTTTAAAATTTTATTATTATATTATTTATAATAATATTTTTAAATAATAAAATTATTTTAATTATAATCAATTCTCTCTATTGTTAACATGATGGGATCAGATATTTTTGTTGATATATAAAAGGATTAATAACTCAGAGATTAGAGTTAGTATCAATATATTAGTTCAAGTAAAATTAATTTTGCAATAAATATTGATAATAAAAAGATATTAATATTAAAGAAGTTAATAATAGAAAGAGTTAATTGTACTAATTATTAATATAATTATTTCTTGATAAATCTTGGCCAATTCTTCTGGAGAATTATAGAGAGCATTAATATATAATATATAAAATATTATATAATTATTATATAATATATAATAATTATTTAAATATTAGATCTTTAAATTATTTAAAAATACTAATTTATAAAATTTAAGTAATAAAAAAACAAATTCTAATTAATTATCTGAAGTATTAATTAGTTTATTTCAAATTTACTAATAAATATTTTTTATTTTTATACTAAAATAAAGATAATATCACATATTTTAACATATATTTTTTTCAAATTTTTTAGATTTAATTTGATAAAGCTGTTCTAATGTATATAATATTAATTATTTTTTTATATGTTTTAATTATAAAAAAATAATTAAGTTTATATGTAATTAGAATTGCTTTATTAGATTAAATCTAAAAAATCTGAAAAAAATATATATATTAAAATATGTGATATTATCTTAATTTTAATATAAAAATAAAAAATATTTATATAAAGAAAAAAATTCATATTTTACTATTTTAATTAATAAATTTTAATATTATTATATTATTTCTAATTGTTACTGTATATAAAAACTTTATTTTTATAAAATACTAATTAAATTCAAAAATTTAAATTATTATTTTTTTATAAAATATAAATTAATAAAAAAACAAATACTAATTAAATTCAAAAATTTTTATTATTATATTTAATCAAAGTTTTTTTTTAATAATTTTAATTTTATATATATGAATTTAAGCTATAAATAATATTCAAAAAATTTTTTTAATTTACTTTTATAAATATATACTTTATTTTTTAATATAATTACAAGAAAAGCTACTTAAAAGATTTTTTTATATATAAATTTTATATAAATTTATTATTTATAGTTTTAAATTATAAATATTATAATAATATATTTTAAAATATTTTAAATTTATAAAAAATAATATAATTTTTGAATAAATATATTTTTATTTATATTTTAATAAAAATTTTTAAAAGTTATAAAATTTGTAAATATATTTTTTAAAATATTAGAAACAAGATTACTTAATATTAGCATAATAATATTTGTAAAATTTTCTATTAAAAGTTATAAATTGAAATTTTTATTATTTAAACAAGAATAAAAAATAAAAATATATTTAATAAGTAATTTTGAAAATAATTTTATAATATTTATAATTTTAATTAATTTTTATTTAATAAATATTATTAAAAAAATTTTATTTTGATGTAATTTTTAATTAAAATAGTAAATATAGCAAATATAAGATTTTTATTATAATTTATTAAATAAATTTATAAAAATAATATCTTTTTGAATAATATTTATTAAATAAAAATAAATTAAAATTAAAATATATTTTTTATGTTATAAACATATTTTTATAAATTCTTTAAAAATCACTTATTAAAAATATTTTTAATAATTTTTATTTCTATTTAAATAATAAATATTTCTATTTGTTATATTGACAGCAAATTTTGCAAAATATTATTATATTAATATATCTTGTGATTTCAAAAAATCTTGTTTCTAACATCCTAAAAAATATATTTACAAATTTTTACAATTTTTAAATGATTTTTCATTAAGTTATAGATAAAAAACATGCTTACTATTACTTTCATCAAGGACTGTAATTCTAGCAAATATAATTATATAATAATAATTATTGAATTATAGTTATATTTTTTACTATAAACTTTAAAAATGGTTTATTATTTTATTATAATGATCATTCCTATATATAGAATTATTATAATTGCTTAAAGATTATTATTTACAAATTTGTAATAAATAATATATTTTTATAATAAAATATATTGTTTTTAGATTCATTTTTTGATAAGTATCCTAGCCATGACAAAAAAAGGTGTCTAATCACGTGATAACAAACAAATTCAACCAATAAGAACGCATAAAAATTCTGCGCAACCAATAAGAATATAGCAAATTTTTTATCAACCCGGCAAAACAAATCCGGCACAAGAAAATGAGAAAAGACAAAAATACAAAAAACAAATATCTAAATCTAGTTGACACATTATCAAAAAATGTCGGAAAGCCAATTTTATATATAAGCTTGATCTCAAATCTAACCCTAACCCTAATAATAGATATCTAATATTAATCGAAAATTTTAATGGACCTATTTCAGATCACATGATCCGACACATTTTTGTTGCCATGGTTAGGCTACTAATTATTTGATATAGTGATGTCATTTATGTAAAAACCACAAATGTCAAGCTATATGAATAAATTTGGACTATAATGAATCAGAATTATTTTTTTAAAGCTGCTAAAATTGATTGTTGTTTAACGTTCTCTCTATCCATTTCAAGCAACTTCCCCTGAACATTAAACAAACAACATTAAATATCACGTGTAAAGTTTTATCCAATTGAAACTTAGCATTCTAGCATAGAATTTTAATGATGAATTTTATAGGAGATCGTAATTTAAGAAGATATTTCTTAAAAGGAAGTAACAGTTCTTCGAGAAAGTCTGTTATTTTCGTAAAAAATATGATTATTATTTTTGTGATGAATCATAACTTGAAAAAATTTTGGAAGAAATGTCTGCTTCTTGGAAAAACATATACTGTACTCTTTATGTGTTTATTGCAAGAATAATGACATAAATGAGGACCAATTCTAATAAGAAAAAGCGAAATGTTAATGAAATGGAGTAACCGTAGTTGATTTGTATTATGCATATTATAAGTTTATTAACTCGTAATTTGTTCTTAAGCATAGTAAAATTCAAATCAACTTGTCAATTAATCTATAAAAAGAAAATTGCAATTTGAAATTCTGCAAATTCGATGACAAAAAAGAGCTATTTCATGAAAGGGAGGTATTTGGACTGCATATTATTTTCGCTGTCTCAAAAAATATACCTTCGTTCATTATGATCCACCGTTAAAAAATTAATATTTGAGTAATTAATATATCTTACACCCCAATAGAAAATCGTAACTGCTCCATTTTATACATGTGCTCGATTGACCATGTCAATGACCTTAAATAATCTTTAAATCGAGGTCATATGAACTCGTATAACCTCAATTTTATTATATATTTCATATGACCTAAGACTAAAATCATTTGAAAAATGGCTTATAACCATTAAATTTGTTAACAATGCAATTAAAAATAGAAATTTAATTTGTTAGAATCAATATAATGATCATTAGTTGTGCTTTTACAACGATATACATGTAAGTGGTTGTTATGCCCTTCTTTTAACAATAACAATAATAATAATCTTAATCAGTTCGCAACACAAATCCAATACTGTGAATGTGTAACAATCTCAAAGTAAAAATTCGAACTGTTCAAAAGACTCATTAAAACAGTATTGGAAATTGGACTATTTGAACAAAAGTGACGAAAATAGTTCAGAAAAGCCGCAATGCACTCACCCGAATTATTCATATAAGTTTGCGACACCGTATTAAATGTTAAATACAAGAGCTGCACATGTTAATAGTTACTGAAAGTAAAAAGCCGAATTACTTTAAAATCCCTGTAAGAAATTACTGACGAAATTCTTAAATCAGGAAATTTCACGATTTATTGAAAGTATTCTGGATATTTGCCCCATTTGATCTCAGAACCGGTTAAAACCAGATCGCAGAAACTTTCAGGATTAAATTCTTCCAAATCAATTTTATTGTTAACGTTAAACTTGAATACAAGGAACTGCACATGTGTAACGATTCAGGAAGTAAAAATCCGACAATTTAAAGGGGAATTGGTCCATTTGGACCATTAGATTTATAATAGTGATACCATACATGTTAACAATTTCTAGAAGTAAAATCTGAACCAATTAAAAAATTACTGACGGAATCCTTAAATCCGATTTCTTATCGTGAAAATAAGCCCTGTGACGTATACGTAAATGTACAAGTACATGTATCACAAATTTATATGTAACGGTATGACGATTGGACCATTTGTATAAAAAGTGACATTTTATTAAACGCCAATTCATTGCTGAATACACAGTCAACGTCGATATAACGGACGATCGATATAACGGATTTGGTCTATAACGGACTATTTTTCGGAACAAGCTATAAATAACATTACATAAATTTGTTCTGTTATAGCGGATCTGTCGATTTACCAGACAGCATGGCAGGAACGGTGGGGTCCGTTATATCGACGTTGACTGTGTATAAGAGAATTTTTTATAAACCATTTTTATGTTTCCTGCAAAAAATACATGTAATTTGAATTATGTCAAACACATCTTTCTCTAATCCGATCGTAAAAAAAGAAAACGATTCAATTGTCGAAGAAATATTTATATTCTTTGATAAAATGATTCATTCTTCGCAAGATTTAAATGAAACTGCAAATAAAAAGTATTAGCAAAAAGTGCGTTTGAATGGAGAAAATTCTTGCGAATCTTAGAATCGAATATTTCATATAAAGTCGTGTATGGTTTTTTTGCACCATTTTGGGATAAAAAATTGAACAGAATTTTGAACTGCTTTTAAATTTTATAAGGAATCAGCTAAGATGAATAATACAATTGCTCAATATTTACCAAAAACGTATTGGAACGCAAAAAGATAATAAAAAAGCTTTTGAGTGGTATCTGAGATCAAAAGGGAGAGATGCTAAAGCACAATACAGACTTGGTTTATGTTATCAACATGGTACTGGGACAAAAAAAGATGAGAAAAAAAGCTTTTGAATGTTATTTAAGATCTGCTGAATTTAGGGTTAATTCGGCTCAATTTAAAGTGGCTAGATGCTATCAATACAGATTTGGGGTCTCAAAAGATCTTTTTATGGCGTTGAATTGGTTCAAAAAAGCTCATCAAAACAGTCATCATCTAGCGAGAGAGAAGGTTCTAAATATATCCATTTTATGATTATTCTTTATATTACAGTGGCCTCCCAGAATATTGTGGACACTTTTTAAAATATAATAACATAAAAACCAATAAAAATTATTATTATAAGCTAATAGATTTACTAAATCATAATGTACATTATCTTAAAATTTCAAGTGATTTAAATCACTGATTCAAAAAATATATAAAAAAACATAAAACATAAAATTTAAAATTTATTGTTAAACCGAAACTCATCTCGCGCAAACTGTGACGCGTTTTGTCTGATTCGAGACGCGTTTAGCCCAAATTAATCTTACAAATCTAACATCAATACTTTGTCGGACCCCCCCCAGCTTTAATACAAGCATTAACGCAATTCGGCATACTATCTACCAATCGACGGCAAAACTCAGGTGATATGTCACGCCAGGCTTCTTGAACAAGACGTTCAAGGTCAACAAGATTACTTGGGTTTGGTTTGCGTCGAAGTGCGTTTTTGACCTTATGCCAGAGATTTTTGATTGGGTTTAGGTCTGGGCTTTGAGCGGGCCAACCCAACACTCGAACTTTGTTTTCTTTGAGGAAATTGTTAATAATATTGGAGATGTGCGGTCTTGCATTATCTAGCTGACCACGATCCATATTTCCTGGGTAGGTCTCTCTAATGTTGGCAAAACGTACCTACGAAGAATTTCAATGTGAGACTTACCAGTGGCAGAGCCATTAAGCGCGACGAGAGGGCCAGTTCCATACCAAGAAAAACAAACCCAGTGCATCCGACTAGGACTATGCTTGACAGTACTACTCACATATTCAATGTCCCATTCTTCATGTGGCTCACGCCAGACCTGACAAGATGATTGTTGAAAGAGGCAAAATGTTGATTCATCTGACCACAAAACACGATGAAATGTCGAGCTGTCCAGTTTTATGTGCGAGACACCAGGCAAGTCACCTCTCAGCATTAACAGTGGAAAGAGTGACTTGGGACATGCAATACGGGACCATAGATATTCTTTAAGTAGCGCATGGCGAACAGTCTTTCTCGATACATTACGTTTTGTTTTAGCAGCAAGAGTAGTGGTGATTTGGGCGAGGTTTAGATGATGATTTTCACTAGTAACAAGAGTCTTGAGGACAAACGATCGGAAACAGTAAGAAGCAGCGGTCGTCCCGTCCAAACAGCTTGTGATTTAACAGTTCCTGATTCGCAAAATTTACGAATAACATTACCCACAACAGACTTTCTACAGCCTACATTAGCTGCAATGGTGCGGTACGAGTTGTTCTTAAGGTAACCATATACAATAGCTCCCTTTTGTTCGGCGGTTAAGTCTTTCTCACTTCTCATAGTGTGTTTGACGTGTAATTAGATGAGTATGAATTAGACGAATTACGTTTTGTGATACAAATATGATCTGAACGAGTATGGAACGCGTCTCGAATCAAACAAAACGCGTCTTAGTTTGGACAAAATGAATACGTATCGGCTTGGACGAGATGAATAATGAATTTCGGTTTAACGCTAAATTTAAAATTTTACGTTTTTTTATATTTTTTTGAATCAGTGATTTAAATCACTTGAAATTTTAAAAGAATGTACAGTCGCCACAGAAAGTAACGCCCGATTTGAGCAACATCAACATAAATTTAAATGTGGTTGTTTTCCCCCTTTTTGTTATTATTGACTGCAATTTTTTTTTTCATTTCTTTCTTCGACTTTTGAACATACACTGGGCGAAATTTGTTGGCTGTAAATATAACACACACCGCCTCCAGTTG